GGGGGGGGGAATGAATGAACAAATAGGTGAGATGGAATTATGGTCGGACAGCCGAGAATAAGTGAAGAAGAGCAAAGATGCAGGACGGAGAAGGTAGGGGGTTCTGATGAGGCCTCTGGGAGATGGAGAAGGCTTGTTGATTCCTCTACGTGAGGCTATCGGAGAACTACTAGGTAGCTAGGCAGCTAGGCAGCCGGGCGGGCGGTAAACTGGCACCTCAGGCACCAAGGCCCCAGGGCCGCCGTCAGGTTCATTGTACGTCGGTTATCAATCTCTCCCATCTTCCTTGACTGGTTGGATGACTGGGTGAATGTGAACAGGCAATTGTGGATAAGGAGTTGATTCACTGCGTCGCTGCAGTATATAGCTTTGAAACAGATGCAGGTAAGTACATACGACCACAGGGTGTGGAAAACAGGGCTTCCCGTCCGCTCAGCCGTACTTAAGCCACACGCCGGGAGGTTAGTAGTTGGGTGGGTGACCACCAGCGAATCCCTTCTGTTGTATGTTTTTTTTCCCCGATGCTGACGTTGTCTTCTTCTTGCCTCTGGTAGAAGGAAGATGGCAGATGTACTTCCCTTTTTCAAAAATCAACAATTCATGCCATGCATTACAAACTCCCTACCACCATGAAGGGTCCGTGGCCCCCGCCAGACGTATCCCCGAAAGCCCTGTATCGGTGGGGGGCAGCAGAACAGGCAAGGCCCATCCAACATGCACAGACAGGTCAATTGATGTATCGATTGTAGAAGACTAGGTCGTCTACCATGTGGTAGCATCCCATGATCGAGTCCGGCGAGTTTAACCATGATGTCAGCAAGTCGCCCAGGTCATCGAAATTGCTGACGGGGTGGCGATTTTAAGGCCCTCAAAAATTAGCCGCTGTGGTGCTGCTGGGGGCTATTTGCTGTATATGTGAATTCAGCTATGGCTATCGAAGACAGCAGACCGAAGCTTTCCCTGGTGCTGATTTCTGTTAAACAGCCCTGATCTCATTCTGTTGGCATATGACGGTAGAACGGTGATGTTGCCGGGATGTATTTCCGCATCTTACGTGCGCTAGTCAAACATTTCAATCCATATTCCTGCATGGAGATTCTAACACCTATGGAATCCAAGGATATTTGTACAGCACCGACAACTTCGATATGGCGGTAGTCACCAACACCACTTGCCTGCTGTATCCACACCTCACGCAACAACCCCTTCATCATCCGATCCCAGACTCGCCAGACGTGCTTTCGCCCTCCGCTCATCCCGCCAAACAAACAGCTGTATTACCACCACACTAATGATGGCCGCTAGCACCAACCCAAACGTGGCCGGGAAGCCGTACCCTAGCCAACACAACACGATTAGATCTAGAACAAATCCCAAGATGATTGAGAAACACTCACGAAACGACGGGGCCATGGTCTGCGGAAAGATGACAATCGGCAGCCAGGCAGCGACCGCGTACTGGAAGCCATTCATACTGCTGATCACCACCGCGCGCTGCTCGTTGTTGTCCGCGCATACTTCGTTGGCCGACGAGTAGCTGGACCGTCAGTATCCTAGTGGAAGGTGCAACATTGTTGGACAACTTACAATACTGCGGTCATGAGCTGCATCCCGATGGTCAGGAAGGCGAATTCCTTCAGTGCGAGACTGTGGGGCCAGACGGCCAGGATACCGTTGGGGATGAGGCCCCATATCTGTTTCTCATATCCGGCTCTCATCAGCACCGTGCACAGGCTAAGTCACCAGATGGACAAGGCAGTCCACTCACCAGCGGGATAAGCACCCAAGCAAACCGGCTTCCGGTATAATCGGACAGAAACCCCCACAGCACCACACACGCGGCGGAGATCAACGAAGTCCCCGTCGGAATGAGGTTGCGATCGGCCACAGAGAAGTTCTCTGACTTGAGCCAGATGGCGAAGTAGCCGTTGCCGCCGCAGGAGGAGCCGTACAGCTGTGACATGTTAGCATAAATTTGCCATCTCATTAGCTACCGAGAACAAGAGCCGAGTACACACCACATAGCCAATGACAAAAGCATACCATTTCCACGAGTTCAACACGCCTGTGAACGTCTTCCAGGTAATCTTCACCGGCGGCGCGACGCCCGCCCTGCTGACGCGCGCTTTGGCTAGCTCGCGCTCCTCCTCCGATAAAAACCACACCCGCGTGGTATACGGTGTGTCAGGAAGGAACAGAAACGTCGCCAGACCCACAGGAACGGTCATGCACCCACAGACAAGGTACAACCAGCGCCAGCCGTCGATCCCCCTCGCCCCATTGAGGTTCTCATACACGGCCGCCTGAAGGTACCCCCCGAACGCGGTGCCCAGGGGCGCGGTCATGTGGAACAGTGCCACGCGTTTCGCGAGCTCGGTCTTGGTATACCAGCTGCCCAGCAGGTACAACAGGGACGGGAAGAAGGAACTCTCGAAGAGGCCGATCAGGAACCGAAACACATATAACTGGGGGACGGTCCGGACCCCTGCCTGAGCGAAGGTGAACGCGCCCCAGGCGACTTCCATCCCAGCGAGCCAGATACTCGGGCGCACGCGTTGGATGATGAGCGTACTCGGGATCTGCATCACGGCATACGCGATCGTGTACAGGGTCCCGGCGTAGGTGTACTGGTTGCCATACATGCCGAGTTCTTCCTGCATCCCCGAGACGTAGGCGTTGGCCAGGTTTCCCTGGTCAAGGTATTTCATGAAGAAACCCAGGCATCCGATGCTGAGGATGGCTGCGTCGAGTTTGAGGAGCAAGCGTCGCTCCTCGGGGGTTTTCAGGTGCGTATCTGTGTCCCAGATGAAGGAGCGGAACGTGCGGCGCGGTGGTGGGCTGGAGTCCACAACCTGACTTATCTTGGTGTCAGGCCGCTTTGTAGCACTCGATGTTGAACAGTGGTCTGCCATGTTTCTGTCTGGATATTTTGGCCGTGCCCGTAGTGTTGTTGGGAGGTGACGATGTTGCGGGGTTATAGATTTATCAGTGGCAGCTCAGGCCAAGCCTTGGTGCATCACGACATGTTGGCGTGATCTTTGCGCGATAAGGCTCATTGATTAACACCAGCACCACCCAATCACCCAGCTTCGACATGCATTAGGAGTATTGGTCTAGTGCAGATACGGGATCAAACCGCGGGGAGCTCACTTGTTGATTCAATTGCAGGCCAGGGTTAATGTGAAGACCCCGAAACTAGGGCTGGTTCGGGAAACACCCCCGATCGCAGCCCTATAAACCTGGTACTATACCCCTTACTTTCTACTTCCCCTCCTCATGCTCCTCATTTCTGCTGTCTCACGGCCATATTCCAGGCAATTTTTCACTCGAAGTCGCAAGAAGACGGGTGAGCGACTGGGTCAGAGCGTCTGTCCCCAACGGCCACCACTAGGAGGGGGGCGCATGATGCCCAGTACTAATATGAATTTATTCCCATTTGTTGTACCCGAGTAGAAGGGCTTTAGCCATACTTTGAACATGAGGTCAACGAACATGCGAGAAGGTCGCTCGGTACATGAGTATATGAGTACATATTCACTTTACTGATCATCAACTCGAGCGGTCAATTCTCCGCATCGCTCGACCTCGCAATCAAGGCAACCATGTCCATTCCCACCGCGTGTGCGCTGCCCTGGAAATGAAGCTTCAGCCGCGCAGTCAGGATGTGCTTGATGACCTCATAGTTCGGATGCTGTCGATGTGTGATCGCGGCCAAACATTCCGCAGCCACGGAGCATCGGGTTGGCAAGTCCTCTTCGGGGAATGCATAGTGTGCACGGACACGCTTTAGAGAGATGTGCCCGAACCCCTGTGTTGTCAACAGCTGCGCCGCTTCCTGCAGAATCTGGCCTTGCTGGCGGATTCGAGGTGAGCGCGCGGCCGCGTTCAGGTGCATCACCGCCTCATTTCCAGGAGCTCCCTGGAGGATGACAAGTTGTGAGTTCTTCTGACGTGCCACGTGGGTCATCTTCTCGATGGCCTGTCTGAGGCTCGGAAGCTTATCGAGTATCCAGGGCGCAACGATGACATCAAACGAGTCAGGTGCATATGGGAGGTTATCGGTGATGTCTGGCAGGGACTGAAATTCCCCACAGCCTGCATACTGACTCCAACTGTCTTGCCCGAGGACAAGCATCTTCTTTCCATCCACTGCGACCTCTTTGCAGAGGCTCTTGAGGTCGTCGCTCACGAAGCGATCGGTGAAAATACCAAGATGGTCGACACAGTCTGAACGCATTTCAGCAATTGGAACTGGATACGGGCCCAGCAAAGGCTGCGGCTCAACCTTCCTTGCGAGCAGGAAGTGCTGAGCCTCAGGGTGCGTGTATTCCCGGTTGCCAGTCGGGCAAAAGATGTGGTCAACGGGCTCCATTTCGAGTACCAAACCGGCCGCTTGCAGCAGGCGAGCCCATCCATCTTCCGAATGGAAGACCTCGTTGGTGTAGTTTCCCATCCAGTACTTTCCGAGCATCCTCACACAATCCCAGGTGGGATCGTAGGTGCATTTGTCCGGCAACAGTCCGGTGCTGGGCGTCACCGCGAGGGCCAAGCGGCCACCCAAGTTGAGCCACTCGGCAAATTTAAAGATCATCGAGTACAGCTCTCCCGGTGTGAGCTGGAACAGCGATAGAATCGCAAAGACGCCATCATAAGACTGGCAAGGGTGGAAGGTGTTCATGTTGGCCACTTCAAACTGACCCCGGACTTGCGACGTGGCAATCTTGACCATTCCTGGGGAGATATCGATTCCATGCACTTGATGGCTTGCGGTTGCCAGGATCTCCGCGACGGGCTTGCCGGTGCCGCATCCAACATCCAGCACCCGACTGTTGGGGGCTAACTTCTTGCTGACCTGATCGATGAAGGCACAAAGTGGCGCATTGTCTGCAAAGGCAGCTTCATAGCTCGCTCCTACCTCATCGAAAAGTGAGTCCGCCGTGATTGTCATGCTGGGAGAATACAAGCAATAGCGAGGCTAGGTTTGCGGTTCATGACAAGAGGAGGTAGAAAGGGGAATCTTGGAGGTCTCCTTTTTAAGTATCTCGAGTCCAAATTTAAGGTTCCTGACGTGTCTTTGGTGTTCCCTGTTTGTTGTCCCATGCAGGGTGCTTGGGACGAATCCTACGTGTCGCGCATGCATCACGCGTCATACTCCAGGGTGCGACGCCCTCACCGCATCTTGTGCAGCCTTTGGTGCCTATGAGCATATCTTGGAACTGAGGAATGATTACAAGCCAGATCACCATGCGCCCCCTATAAACTCGCCGAGCTCGCAACTTATTGTACGAGAGATAAATAGCTGGCGGGAAAAGGTTACTTGTACCAGCAGAGATCAATGCAGAAGGCCGTACATCTTTGTTGGATTGATTATCACTCCGGCTAGGCCTATAATTCTCTGGACAATAACGGCTCAGATTGAAGTGGAGAATATTTGAGCATCATGCCGATCCGACCGCCGGTTATTTGCATCCTGGAACTGGCAACTGAGCGAGTCGAGACGCTTGCATTCACCACATACTGGGAGGAATGAACGATAGTGACATCACTTGAATAAAACCACCTGCACTGGTGATTCCGTATCTTATTTAACATAACTTTACGTGTATAGAAAGCCTACGCATTCCGAAAGACCCGTCCATAGTCAGGGAGTCCCCAAGCCACCAACTCCTGATGGCTCGGAGCGCCGCGCATTACCTCATTTTTGAGCCAGTGCTGCAGGATTGGGCTATCCTCCTCGACATGATAGCTCCGGGTTTGGCCCGAGAGCGTTTCCCCGGGCATACACAACGCCCCCTGACACGGGGCGGGGATGAACCGCACCTCCGTGTAGAGGACGACGACGGACCCAATCTGGATGAAGCCATGGAAGGGCTCCGCCGTGGGACGCTGGGCCCGCAACAGGGCGAATTGTCCGCACAGCGTGCTGACCAACCCCCCGACTTCCTCCCGAGTGGGATCGCGGAGCGCCCACTGCCATTTCACCCGCACGATCAGGCTGCGTGGTCCGATCTGGAGGATTTGGGCGGCTGCGGGAATAGCAATATACGGCGACTCGGCTTCGAGGAGGGCCCGCGTGGTGTCGCGGATCCCTCGTACGCGATCCCACTCGATGGCGCCTCCCTCGGACATGACGGCCGTCGAGTCGGAGTCTGCAATGCTGGCCATTATCGCTGGTACAGTGGAATCTATGGTGGAAAAGCACTTGGGGTCTTCTTCGGTGTCAGGGTTGAGGGACCAATATTGGTGTAAATGGCCAAGTTAAATGGATGCGCAGGTTGGGGTCTATTTATAGATCCCATGTTGGATGCCATAGAGGCATGTTCTAGAGATGAAGTAAACGAAGATGTTCATCCAGTTGTAGCTTTTGCGTGGACCGACATGCAACTTGCTGAGATGTTTCATCACCTTGCTTAGGAATGTCTTTGTTCTTCTACTATGAGATGGTACTGAAAGAATTGTGCCCTATCTTCCATGACCACAAAACAAAGCGAATATACAGTCATGGCACCGTCTGAGCAGCACGATCGGCAGTCTCAACTTTTAGTGAGCCTGCCTCAGTTCTCTCTTTGATGATCAATCAGGTGGCTTTTGGGCGATGTCTGCGACGACCAGTGTTATAGAATTCAACACCTGAAACCGCGTCGGAAAAAGGTGATGGACCCGGCTGATCAGCCTCACAGCCGTCCGCCTCTCCCGTACGTCTCACCCAAGGTTTCCATCATCACGCGGGTAAATTTGCCTGCTGCGAGGTGGGAGGCGTTCGCCAAGGAGTTGTCTTGGTTGTGGCGGCGGGCAGTGGATTGGATCCCCGGATTGTTAATTTATTTAGATTAATATGACAGTTTGACATCGTGAGTGACTTCTGTGGAAGTGAGGAGAGCATGCGACATGGTATTTGGGATGCGATGAACGCAGGTTTAGCGACCATCAATTGTATCCCAAGTCATGCTATAAGTTAGTTAGGTGATTTTGAGTTGCAGGGAAATAAGGGACTGGACTGGGTCTCGTCTCGGGGTATTTCCCCACTTATGCTGCGTAAGCTGCATAGCATAAATACATCCGTGGACATCCGTGGATATTTCCTCCTCGGGCGGCCAACTGCTGGTTCCCTGGTTCAATGCCCGGACATGATGCAACTTCGACTCGGTCTCATTTCGAGGGTGAAAACCGTGTCAATGCCCGGGATCGAAGTTCGAATCCCCTGGCTCTTGGCATGTTTGCAGCGTGCTGAGATGGTATTCGAGTGTAGCAATATACAGCAATTCGCACGTTCTGGAGGACTTGACATTCCCACCCCGGATGGTGTATGCTTCATAGTGATCCTCAATTGCAGACTACATCTTATGGCTCAGGACAGCTGTGTCATTTCTTAGATCGCATTCTGCGTATTGTTTTTGATGGTAAATAGTGTCAGATCCTCAAATTCTGTGCACTCGCATCGGGTGGTAAGGGCAAGGCCTCATAGAAATATATATCTGCCACCGAAAGGCTCACCACGATATATTACAAGCACAGAATATACTGTCTTCTACTTTTATCTATTGTGATTAATGACGCCGAGATATTATGTCCAATTCGGCAATAATTTGGACCGGAAGCAACTACATCGATCAATTGAGACTCTGTGAGGGCGTCCGATTTGCAGCAGCAGCTGGCAGCTGGCTGCGACCGTGGATGAAGCCGGATACTCGTCCGGTCGACCGGGCAATCGCCTACCCTCCCCAAACACCCCTATCCGACTCAAAATCAATCCATCTCATAGTATCAGTCGGAGAATTTACCAAGGGGAACCATCATGGTCCAAGCAAATTACATAGTCTACTGCTGGTGAGTCAGTCTTGGCTAGCGTTCAACTCCCACGTGGGCAGCCAGATCTCGGCAGATCATCCGAATATGACGAGGTAGACGATCAGCAGCAGATCCTACCACTCAATCCTTCAGATACCACCCAGATAGCACATCTATAGCACATTCAATTAGGTAAAATCAGTCGTCGACTAGTCAGGAATCCCAACGGATTGCCCGGTGTCTGCCTCGTTTCGACCATTTCGTGCTCCAAGAGAGGATCCTCTCGCGAAGAGACTCCGAACCCAGCAGTCAGAATGCAGCAAAACAGCCACCACCACGAGGTGATATCGTAGAGGCGTACATCCTGCCTGGTTTTCCGATGGGGGACTGACTCGAAAAATCGATAGTCGAAAGCCAAGCTCATTGCACCACGTGTAGTGCCATGTGGTAACCCCCACCCGAGGGGGAATCATTGGTCTTGTCTTAGCGCAGGTGAAGGAACAGACGGTGTAACCATGGTCTGGGTCGTACTTTAGCGTCCATCGAGAAGAAGTGTAAACGAGACTAAGTTCTTTCACCAGCTAATTTGGTAGCCTGGATCGGGCTGGCTCGGCAGTCGATCCGGTGTGCCGTCTGGCGAGCTGGCGAGCCGGCGAGCATTCTCCCCCTGGCCCCAAAACTCCTTAAATACTCTTCCCACGGGCCCAGTCTTGAGCACTTTTTCCTCCTGAGCAAGCACAGTTCAGATTGTTTGCAGATCAATTGACTGATCTTTGCCACCGTCATCATGGGTCTTCTGCAAAAGAGTGCCAATCTGGCCTTGAGTCTGAGTGCCACCGCCTTGGCTCTGGGTTGTGCCGCTGAGGCCTCTCCCAGCGTCACCACCGAGCAGGGTGTGGTCTATGGTTTCTCCCAGAACGACACCAATGTCTATCTGGGCATTCCCTTCGCCCAGACCACCGCGGGTGAGAACCGGTGGAAGGCGCCCCTGGCTGCCACCGCCTATGAGGGGGGTAGCTTCGATGCCTCGGCCTTTGGTCCCTCGTGCGCCCAGGCCATGTCCGGCACGACGATCGTTGCCCAGAGTGAGGATTGCCTCAACCTGAACATCTGGACCCCCCCCAGTGGCACTGGCCTGCCCGTCTTTGTCTACATCTACGGTGGTGCTATGGTCACGGGTGGTAGCAGCAACCAGCAATGGCAGGGATGGAACTTTGCTCGCAAGGATGTCATCTACGTCAACTTCAACTATCGTGAGAGCATGTATGCCTCTCCCTATGCTCCCGAGCTCGAGGGCGAGTCGCAGAACTTTAGCATCTTGGATGTGGAGCTCGCCCTGCAGTGGATTTATGACAACATCGAAGGTCCGTATTTTGACTTTTGTTTGCCTAATGCTTAACATTCCTCAGTCCCCCCTCTCTGCCACGTGGTAACCGTCCCCACTGACTTTGCGTTGAACAGCCTTCGGTGGTGACAAGTCGCGCATCGTGTTGGGAGGTCACTCCTCCGGTGGTGTCCACGTCGATGACTACCTCTGGAACCACCCCGAAACCTTCCTGGCGGGTGCCATTGAGATGTCGGCCAACGCTCAGTCCGGCCCGGCCAATGCGCCCGTGGGTGTCGCCCTCAAGCAGGTCGTCCAGGACATGATCGATGCGGGTGTCTCCCTGGACTGCACTGCCGACGACTACACTCTGGACTGCCTGCGCAAGGTGGATACCTATGCCTTCCAGACCAGCTACTTCAACTCAACCTCCAACACGTGGTTTGGCCCCGTCGTGGATAATCTCACCCGCTTTTCCAACTACTCGGACCGTTTCGCCAACGGCCACTACCCCAAGTCGTTGCCGCTGATCGTCGGTAACTCGGACAAGGAGGGCAAGCTTTTCGGCATTGTTTATGGGTCGGAGAACACGAACTTCTCCTCGTGGATCCGCACCTACGATGCCGACTTGGCGTTTGTGCCCGCCGATGAGCTGCTGGAGGCCTACAACCCCGATGACTATTCCTCCATCTCCCGGATGAGCGGTGCCTCGTATGGCGATGCCCGCTTCCACTGCGCGACCGACTACTTCCTGGACATGCGCTCGGAGGAGCAGAACACCTGGATCTACCGCTGGTTCGGCAACTACTCCAACGTCCTGGGTATCCCCGACATCGGCCCCTCCCACGGCAGCGAGGTCCCCTTCTTCCACGGTGGCAACGAGTGCTTCGCCAAGCTGACCGGAGTCACGGCTGCTGAGCAAGACCTGGCCGACTACATGAACGACTGGTTTGTTGCCTGGATCAAGGACCCCAGCGCTGGCCCCGGTTGGGATCAAGCCACGCCGGTGAACGGACCTCTGGCCCTGTTGGGTGTGCCGGGTAACGAGGAGGCCATCGAGGCTGGAGAGACTGGCACCTACAACCAGCGCTGCCAGAAGGTCTACAAGCCAAACTACCCCAACTACCCGGTTGTCCAGAATCCCGTGGAGTTGGCTGCGGCTAGCTCTTAAGTGGGGAGGCGCGCAGGAGAAGAATCGAAAATAGGGGGGGGGGGGAAGTCTGTTCGGCGCAGCATAGCGAACCTCGACATTTCATTCGGCTTCAGATTTTATTAATTAATTTTTTTTCTTGTTATTAGACTTTCGCTTCCTATTGTGGGATTTGTCAGCGGGCTCATTGCATGATGAAGCCTGAGTAGCAATTTTTAATCTACGTGAATCATCGTCACTCCATAATCCGAATGCGTCCAAATCGCCGATAGAGTTTGATCCGTACAAAGCTTACCCTTCCATCCCGACCTGTGATCTTTCCAACGCACAGCTGGCTGCATCCGGTTGATCCCAGTGTAACGGTGTGAACTGGTTAGTGGATTCTAGAAATCAATAGTTCGCACATGGCGTACCATGTCGTGCAGCATGCAGAAAGGTGTTTTGCAGGGGAGACGGACGACGTCCGAAGAATGTTTCACTTGGGTGGATCCGCAACCCTAACTGTGGGCCGCCGAAGTTTTGCCTGGAGCAATCACGGCCAGTTCCACCAACATTCGGAGAGACTATCGATTTCCTTCTGCTACCCCGATCTCCGATTCCCCGTCACGCAGGGTTATCGAGATGGTATGGTCCACGAGGGTCCCAATGCCTCGGGCCATACTCCCCTCCAGTGCTGGTCCGCCCACCACACCACCCCATCATCCCCCCCTAAGCAGTGGCCACACCACGCAAAAACCACACAGACAGGCACACACAACCGCACACCATTGAATCAAGATCCAGATTCCAGAGGGAGGTCCCTGCGGGCCTTCCCCGATCCAAACTCGTGGATTTGCTGGTTCCTCCAAACATACCGCCAGAACGAGCTTTCCAGCATGGGATAAGGTTTTCCCAAAATCCTCACCACGTAACGCTCCCTGGCAGGCTGCGCGGGTCGATCACGGTTTATTAATATTGACTGCCAGCAGCTGCAGCTGCTGCAGAGATGCCCTCTTGTCTCCGTCTGTTTTTGTCGTCGTGACTTTCTGCCCGCATCGTGGGTTGTTCGTCGCCATGGGTCGTCCAGATACCGGCCAAGTGGTAGGTCGTCGTCGTCAGAGATTGTTAGGAGCGGTATTCTCTTGCTAACGCACTACTTCGGGGTGGACAGGTGTCGTGGTACATTGTCACCATTATCGCGTGCATCTTTCTCGTCTGTCGACTCTGTGTGCGATGGCGGTTGTTGAAACGGCTGTATCTCGACGACTTGTTCGTCACGGTTGCGGCGCTCTGCCTGATCGGAGATCTGGTCATCCAGCATTATATGTTTAACCTGGGTATGTACCGTTTATCGCTGCTTCCCCCGTTGTCCAAATCCACCTGCATGCAGAGTGATCCGTGCGAGAGAGATCTAACGGTGGACTTCCTCTAGGCATGTCGGATGCGGCCAACATGGACTCAGATCAGATGATCAACATGATGAAGGTCAGTTTGCAGACAGCAATCGGACAACGCCCGAATCCGGAGCCCCTCTTTCTCTGTGCGCTGCCCCGATCCGAGGCCTACAGCCGGCGCAAATCCTCTACACACCCACTACGCTGAGACTAACTGCGGCCACTATCGATCGCTCTGTGACAGATGATCATCCCCGGATCCACCCTCTATGTGACCACGCTCTGGCTCATCAAGGCCAGCCTGGTAATCTTCTACAAGCGTCTCGCCGATCGCACCCGGTACCAGACCGTGTACAACATCACTCTGGCCGTTCTGGCGGCGACCTGGTTGGTCCTGTTCTTCGATATCGTCTTCAAGTGCTATCCTCCTTCCCGACAATGGCGGAGCGTGGTTGATGCGGAATGTAAGTGGATGCGAATGCGGTGGAGATGTCATGAATACCAGCAGTACTAATGGGACTGGAATGCAGTGGCGTGCCCAGACAAGCCATCGACGATCAACTACTGGTTGACGATTCTTTGTACGCAGCCCCGTGTCCGATTTGCAATTGCTGGAATGCTAACCATGTCGCAGTCAACATCTTCACTGATGTCTTCAGTAAGACGCCACAACTTAACTACGAGCCACCCCTTCGATTCTAACCCCATGAACAGTCATCTGTCTCCCCATCTCGCAGGTCGCCCGCCTGAAGATGCCCAAGAAACAAAAGTGGGGTGTTATCTCCGTCTTCTTGCTGGGTGTCTTGGTCGTTATCTCGAGTAGTAAGTTGTACCATCAGCTCAACAAGCAGTGCACAGTGCCATGTCTAACGAGCGTTGCAGTCATCCGAGCCATCTACTCCCATCTCAACGAACAAATGATCACCTGCACCGTCTCCATGATCGAGGCCTCCATCGCCATCATCGCTTCCTGCCTTCCTGTCCTCCGCACCTTGGTTTTTGGGAGCCACTCGCGCACCGGGACGTACAGCGGCCGGCGCGGCTACGAGCTGTCCAACTCGGGGTACAACACCACCGGCGGCCCCACGAGCAAACAACGGACCACCGTCTCGGTGACGCAGACGGCCAACACCCCGGACGATCTGTCCCGGCATGATTCCGAAGACGGCTTGGTCAAGGATCATGGAGCCTTGCCGTTGTCGCTGGAGAATGGTGCTGGAATTGCTGTCACGCGCGAGTACTTTGTGCACGAGGGGGAGTCGGATGGACGAAGCTTTCGGTAGAGGCTAGGCTTGGCTCTGAACAAGGTCTCTTGAATCTTGGGGAGCTTGACCTGCGAGGAAAAACAAAACTATCCATTCTTTAGTAGAATAATTTCATATAATTGTGACCCAGGAAGCTTACGTCGTGTGATTCGGGTAAGGGAGTACAGGGTAGATTGTAAATTTGCCCCTGTTCTTCGGCTCAGACCACCTCAACCGTACGTTGAATCTCTTTCATCTCCCACATCTGGCTCCTCGGTGAATGCTGCTGCGCATTGAGCACCACATCAGCCGTGACGACGGGATGCATCGACTTCGGCAGAGCGACGGTGGACTCGTTCCCTTTTAAAAATCAAGGATAATTTGATCTCTGCGCTGCTATCACTTGCCATCCCTTTAGGTTTCTTTCCAGGTTCATTGCCCTCTCCGTGCGACTTTTCTTCCCACCACCCACCACACTTTAGGAGGAAACCAAGTCCGCGGAATCTGCGAGGCGGAGCACCTGCCTCTGGATCCACCTTGGCACCCTCTAGAGACGAGCTATCGTCGTCCTTCGACCCTCACAGCTGTCGGAACGTGAGCAGGCTGTGCAGCCGAGCACCGGGGGAGACGTCGCGCACGATCCGGTACAGGATGGGGAGGCAGATGGCCACGATCGCCACCCCGGTTTCGAGCGTCCCCCAGAACATGAGGATGCTGACAATGCCTGTGGCTCCTGGATCAGCGCTGCGTCTGTTGTCTGAGGTAGGAATAAGGGCTGAGGTGAAGCTTATGCAGTAGACTCACCAATGTCATCGGTCGAGGATACGCCGCCTACGGTTTGAGTGGAGAGCACTGCGAGCATTCGATTAGTATGGTTAGGGAGACAGTCGTGATGGAAAGTATACATTTGGGTCCGAGAATCCTAGCGAATAGTGACATGCGCGCGATGCCACACGCCGTCGTCCTGGGATCGTAGTTTAGCCGACTAGCACAGAGTGAATGAGGAGATGAGGGTCGCTCACATTGACCCTACAAGCAGCACCACTATAATCCCAATGCGCTTGTGCAAGTTGAGGTGGAGAGACAGAACCTGATGCGGTCAGAAACATCTTGTTTGGTGGGGTCGTAACCCAGTATACGTGCAGAAAAGCTCACCAGCGGCAGTGGAATGGTTAAGATGATGAGATCGACGGCCACGTCCGATGCCGACAGCGCAATCAGAATGGCAAAGCTATGACTACAACTGGTCATGAGGTCATTCAGGGTGCCGAAATTGGCCGTGATGCTCGCCCCACACATTGTCATCAGCGCAATCACAAATGTCACGCCCCAGGCGATTACAACGCCAATCAGTGTCCAGCTGGCGATGTCAAAGATTCGTCCGACAAAGAGTCGCCGGTAGAAGAATAGGACAGACAGCTTGAGCAAAGCTAGGGCAAGGGGCTGCATGATGTTGAATGGAAATTCCAACTGCAAGGGAAGGCGACGTGTAAGTGGGAGATTGAAGCTGAAGGAAAGGTGAAGACTACTCTTTCCAACAAGATCTGGTCCCATCCGTCGTAATACAGGATGGCTGCGCCGATATCGACAGGGGAGTGGGCGCCCACCGTGTGCTTTACGGCGCCTAGACATGTCGTAAGGTCAGCTTCATTCATTGTTACGTTTTGGAGGGAGCAGGTGCCTACCAATTATCATGATGACAGCTTCTCCTGTGACGAGGACCTGCCGTACACGACGAAGAATCAGTGAGGTGGCCTAGGTGGCCTAAGTCCATTTTTGAGGGAGTAGATAGTGTACCCATGCTACCAGTGCAAGCCAATCGTCGACTCCTAGTCTTTTACTCCTGCATTGAAGCCTCAATAATAGCCATGGATGCTCCCTCCAGCGTCCAAATACTTCAATTGGCAAAGCGAGAATCAGCCTTCCGGAACAACTCAACCCAGTCCGCCTCTTTTCGCTCCCTGGAGTTGGAGAGTGTAAACATGATCATGTCCATGTTCCTGGGTATTCATATCAGCGATTCCGTCCCCATCGGTCTAGGAACAGAAGGTATGTACATACCGGACAGCACGCTCCTTAACCAGGGAGAGTAACCCTGGCTCAGGGAGCAGGTAGTCGTTCACGATAATCCAAGCTCCGGGCCGCAAGGCAGGAATCAGCGCCTGAAGAATCCGGACGCCAGGCGAGTCCGACCAGTTGGGGAAGATGTTCCGGAACAGATACGCATCGGCCCGCACGGGTTGCGGTGTGAAGAAGTCGTGCGCCTGAAATGACATTCTGTCCCGCACCTCATTTGGCAGACTCTCCGCTGCGCCGACGATCATACTCGGCAGGTCCTGGACGATGAACTGGAGCTCGGGGTAGTCCTGGGCTACCAGGCTGCTGACATTGCCCTTCTATCCGCCAACATCTACGACTGTCCCTTGCCCGAGTTGACCCCAATCGTACCCTTGTACCAGGAAGGACGGTGCATTGTGGTGGCCGTTGGGTGTGGACATTGCAGAGGCAAATCGTCGAGCCATAAGAGCAATCAACCGACCGTTCGCCCAGGATCATCGCTGTGATATTGTTCCAACGCAGAAAGTGTCAAAGGCCAGAAAGAATGAGAGCATGGCTGATCCAGGTGAAGCAGAAGGCATGCATACGTGGGCAAATCCCTGCCAGACCTCTTCAAACATGTACCCGAGCCCAGCGCGTACGGTGGGATCATCTACCAGCCTGCGTGAGGCCGCGGTGTGAGCGACAAAGCCCTTGCGGGGCTCGTGGAAGACATGATGGTAAGCCATGGCAAATCGCAATGTGCGACGCAAGTTGGCCTCGTCGAATCCACATTTCTCAGCGAGCTCTCTGAAAGAGATTTCTCCGTTCACGGGAACATGGCGAGCGATGTCGAATCTGTAGATTGCCTGCAGGCTGACTCCATTCAACTGCAAACAAAAATCAGTGGTGAGAGTAACTTCCGTCTATTCGATGACTCACCACCGGACGCAGGCAATTTGACGGCCCCAAGAAAAGGTCGTGAAGCTCAAGAGTGGACGACAAGACTTCTTCGCGGGCTGATAACATGTGTCCCGAGAGGCCCAGCTCAACGGGACCGTTTTCTTCAAAACTAGGAGCCGGGAGGTTATTCTCTCGTAGATGACTGTCGATCTCTTTCGTCAGTCCTTGAATGCGTGTTGCTAACTCCACAATTCGACTGGGATTCATTCTGAACATGAAGGACTATTCGCAAGACTGAAGAAGGTTGAGAAGGAGTTTGGTGCGATTTTGACCGGATGGAGGTTGAACGATACCAGTAAAGCGGAAACTCGAGAGAGAAATGGGTAGGAATGATTAATCTGAGGTAGTGGGGCCTATGAAATCCTGTCAGGACTCTCAGGATCATTGAAGATAGCAACTGCCAAGAAGTCCGTCATCAAGCCATCGACGCAGGCACGACGGTTTCAACTTGCGAATGGTTTGGTGGACGGTGCCGCCGGAACATGCCCAGAAGGACCGTGGGTCTGATGTCTTACCTGAGCAGCCCACCGACCAATGTCCGCCACAAGATTTCTATCCTTATTTCTTGGGATGGGTATCCAATTCAAGGGACGAAAATGATCCATTGCGCAAGCGAGGACAAGCAAAGGCGGCTGATTTATCTCACCAACGTGCCTTGGTCCTTTCTGCGGTACTTCACTGGCCAAAGCTATGTTTTGCCAGACGTCCACTGGCTAGGGCTTTATGGTATACTGTTGGTTGAGTGGCATTGTGACTGACAGTTTTACAAGGTGTTTGATCCCGAAATTCATGTTTGCTTTACCTAAGATTCCACAATTCACAGAGAATGCGACGACAAATAATCGATCTGTCAATCATTGTGAATAATGAATGATATTCAGAATCATGTCAGTCTCCCATCAACACCAGGGTCAATGGGTCTCAATTATTGGGTCACCGTCTATACCTCTTTTATCTAGATCCTTTTTCCTTGTCCTTCTGACAATGAGTGCCCTGTTCATCAATAATGGCGAACGTTGTCGAGGGATGAGCAGCTGGGGTGCATCGGAGCTGTGCAATGCCTGAAAGATCAACCGTCTCTCTCAACCTGCACATTGACATACCTTCTGCCATGATTTTCCCTAGGTACACATTCACGCGGTGAACTCATGTAGGCAACGGTTGCCTGCCGTGATATACCCACTAGGACAATCCAGGCTGACCAGTGACTGACCAGAACACCACACCATCGAATTTCTAGCCCAGCACCGCTGTTTGACCCATTAATGAGCAAGCACTCCGCGATGTTTATGGCTACACGGGCCATGCAGTGTACTGGGTCTGGAGTCTGGTTTTGGCGAAAGGAACTGCCAATCCTGTGTGAGATCAGCAGTGCAGGCTTGGCGGCGACGGCATACGGCTTCAGGTAGGGCTCCAGCCCGAGCTTGAATCCTAACGATGACCCCAAAACTATCCACGGATAATGTGTCCCCTCCGGTTTCTTCCCTGGTCTCCAAGTTCTTTTCGCCAACCAATATACTCCCCCACACTGCCTGTCGCGTTACTTTGCCTAGGACAGGGGCTTGAGAGACCAGGGGAATATCAAAAGTTCTTCCTCCAACGAGCAGTTGCTGCTGATCAAAGACGAGTTGGACTTTGTTCTGACCCTGGAGGATGGACTGCATCTGAGTATCCCGCGTACGGCGTACGATGACTTTGGGACGATCACTGCCTCTGCAGCTTTGTTTGTCCTCATTCTGTTTGCCCTACTAGTCTATTCTTACCGCTGTTTTGTTTGTCTTAACTGTCAATAATTTCCCGTTTCGGAAACCGCTGGTAACATGGACAAGGTACAGACAGTTGGACCCCGTCTTCTTCCTCCATCACTCTCAGCTGGACTGATTATGGTGGGCGTGGCAGCAGACACTCCCTGAGTCACTTTCTGCCCGTCTCAATGAACGGCTTTGCATGGAGGGCTTGGATCAGATGCTTGGGTGGCTCCTTTCATTGACACCGAGCATGGTCTGCTTTGTTACAGGTACTAAGCGTTCTTTCTGCTGAGGTTTAGAAAAGTACTTATGTTCTTACTAGTTTCAAGTACTAGTTTCAAGGAGGTTCGATTTGGATTTCAATTAAGTTTGTATTGAATGGGTTAAAGAAACGCCCACATGAAAAATATGTCTCTATTCTATACTTGATAGAGAGAGAATAAATAATGCCAGCGCCAGATCTTCTCGCCAGACACTTCCAAGGAGACCGATCATGGGAGCCAGCCACAGCTGGCGACAGTGTGGACATCTGGGCGCAGAGTGCGCTGAATGCGGGGTTGTGAACCATTCTATCACGCATTGGGAGTGGAAGGCGTAGCCACACTGGATCCTGCACCACTCGAGAGGCACTCCTTGGGTCTCCTCGAGCGGCTGCTGGCAGATCAGGCACGTTTCATTTCCTTGGCTCGAGCGAGGCGCCGTGGGGAGATTATCAATCCCCATCCGGTCTGCTGCCTCCGCGCCGAGGTACTGCTGCACGATTCCGCGGACAATGCGCTGAACAGTGGCATCCTGCAAGGTGACCAGTCGAGAGGAAAAACAGCCCGGAAGCCGCTCTCTCATCAGCGCAGGCAGGATCTCGGGCCCGAACTCGGCGACCCAGCTGTCGGTGTCTGCAACATCCCGTAGTCGCCCAGCACACATCTCATCATACATCCGACTATACCGAGCCCAGGTCACTGACACCACCTCGAGCTGGGCGAGGAAGAGGTGGCTGGGCCGGTGACCCATGTTGCGAGATTGCCTCATAACGTACACACATAGCCCCAGGAATCGGAGAAGATCGAAATCGACTAGGCCCAACCGGTGTGTGATCGGCGAATCTCGGATATCCGGTCTGTAGACCTCGCGGCTGAGCTCTATAAACCGGTGGGTCAACTGAACACACAAGTCTGCTCGGGCCTCAAAGACCTCGGGGGTAAGCTCGGGAGACTCGTCAGCCATCGCGAATACAGTATCAGATATCAAGATTTCGGTGTTTTCAGCCCCAATATGGTGGATAACTTGCGAGTAAATTCCAAGACTCGTTGGACCTCGAAGGTCTTAAAACTCAAGCCCGTTTATATAACAGGTTACCACGGAGTGGCTGAACAAAGACGCAGACCCCAGGCTTCTATTGGAAAGAAATCTTTCAGTGTGATATCTTTGTCAGTAATGAAGACTACCGGAATACAAGCGTACGTGCGTCATTCTCTTGGTCGTCGATGCGTTATTCATGTGAAATATTCCTGACTGAGAGATATCGCAGACAAGTGTTGTTTGCTTTTGAGGATCACGGATCTCGTTACATCGGATCTGCACCTTCTTCCAACCCGTCACCGCCGTCGTCACAGAAACCAAAATGAGCTCCCAGGGGAATCGGCTCGACACTATCTCGATAGCAAGCGGTATGACTGGTGGCAAAGTCGCGAAGTTCATTCCAACTTCTGCATTGATGCACCTGACCATCACCAGCCGTGAATTTCCCAAAGGTGTAGAGCGGAGTATTGTCTGCGTAGCACTGGATGGCCTGGTAGATACTGTGGTCAGCAAGTCTCATGTTTGCTTTTCAATGGTATCATACCTGTCGCAGGGCATCAAAGCAATGCTCAACATGCCCCAGACCGCTTGCGTGGCTGAAGGGTCGCTTCTCCACGGCTTCCCAGAAGGTGGTTCGCATGATCCGCTGAAATCAAGGCTCTTTACTCTCTGTTCCGCGCCACCTTATATGAGTTACTTACGAGGCAGTGTAAATGATGGTAAGCCTCGAGCAGATAGACTTCCTTGCTGGTGTCGTTAGGCATGAACAAAGTGTCCGGCCAATTCCGAGCGGCGGCCCATTGGCGGTCAACTGCAATAAAGCCATGGGAAGGGAGAATGGCGTACCAGAGATCATCAATTTTTGAATGCGCTTTTCCTGGTGCGCTGTATTCTGTGTGCCAATATATTGGACTGTAGATAGTGGAGAGAGGCTGTCTCAACGCTGCATGGGATAATAAGGTTAGCATTCGTCGCAGAGACAGCTCGATGGAAGGGTCTACTAATACCATATTCTGGTGAAGTATGCCCGTTCGAGCCCGCGTATTGGCTCGATCGGAAGAGGCGAGCAATGTAGAGGAAGGGCAATAGGTACACAACGCCTGCGAGGATATATAGGAAACGTCTGAAATTGGACTTCTGGCCGGTTTGATGGCAGCCGTTTGGGAAGAGTGTGAGGTAGCCTGACGCTTGCATATCATCGGTGAGTTTCTTTTCGACTTGTAAACCAGGACTGCGGTGAAAGACGTCGTTCCTTTGGTTCTTATGCGGCGAAGTTCACCAGGCAAGAGTTTTTCCTGGCCCGGACAAGCTAGTGTCATTGTGGACGATGCTTCTAAACTTGCAGCCCGCAAGTAACCACAAACGCCTGCGTCTCTTTCTGGACCTGGTCGTCCAAGTCTTGCAGACGTAGCAGACACCATTAGAAGGCCTTTCCTTCCAGGCCGCGCTCCAATGCCAAGATCTAAGATCCAAAATTACCTAACAAACCCTGGTCAGAGTGCTACCTTCTTCAGACTACCCCCGCCCTTCTTTCTCTGAATGTGTACCCTTCCCACGATACTCTGTGGTCTCGAAGTCTCGTTGGCGCAAATCAAAAAAAGTGAGTAATAAAGTGAAAATTAAAGAAGAGCGACAGGAGCTTCAGGTGTGGTGGTAGATTCTGGGCCGTTTCTCACATCAAGGGTCCGGTAAGTCAGCACCAACCTCAAACTCCGCATGGGAGCACAACTTAATATTGAGCTTGGGGGGTAGCGGTGGAGCTGACTGGCTGGGACCAACAAATGCAACCATAGCCCTCGATTCGGCCCGTTCTTAGCCAGGGACTAGCTCATACGCCAAGAGGGCCCGAATGTTGGAGATGACATCGGGAGTGGTTCGCGCGATGGCCCCCACGCTGCGCCTCTGTATGCCATTGCGGGAGCGGTTAGGGCTCTTGAGTCTACCTATCATCCTGAAACGGACCCCATATCGAAGAAGACCTTGCCAACTAATAGAAACTAGCTTTCCCATGTTACATTGTTGCCCGTCGCTAGCTTACTACTTCAAGTCACGAACACCTCTTTGAGGAGCTGATTCGTCCACTTGGGAGAGTTATCATCGTGAGCAACCGGCACCTAGCAATGTGTGTGGCGACGAAGTTGGGCCTCTCAGGTCAAATTGGACCCCTTCTGCCCTACACTAATCTGAACTCCGTGAGTGCTTTCAATCTCAAATATTCAGCTCGCGCATCGCAACTCCAGAATTGCACTTTCCATGTTACCTGTAACAAGTCGCTGTTAGCTGCACAGCCTCATTCTGACACTACTGTCCTGGTAAATTGTGGCAATTGAGCCCTGATCACCCTGTTGGGAGTTAGTATACTTGTTACATCTGTTTTCTAAATAAGCGCGGATGCTAAGTCTTTCGGGAGATGTTGTCCGACGACCTAGAGTTGCTCTATTATCTCCTTCACGGAGATTAAGGGTGTTCATGACCCGCTGAACCCTTTAGTAACATCGCATTAATCCAGCGTGAGTCTTTGAAGGCCATCACTGCTCCACTCCCTTCTTCTAAGCTATCACCAAGGGATCTAATGCCCGTCTAGTTGTTCCTGCCAACCAACAATGATGTTTCATCATTCCTAATGATATCTCGGCATTTTGACTTGTGATCATGACTTTTGTCCGGACTTCCCAGTATAAAAGGGTTGAATGTCTAGTCGCTGAGTATGTCTGGCATCAAGCAAGCAGATCCAAGATCTGGAGCCGGTTTCGACTCAGCCATTCTTTCTCAACCATTTCTGAAGCTATCGAGTAGTTTCATCACACTCCTTTGCAGCAGCAGCACTTCGAACTGTCACTCATTCTTTTCTTCAATTCGTGATTTACTTTCTGTCCAATCTCCTTGAGCACTACATTGGAAAATGCGTTGGGCACAGATTCTTAGTGTGGGAAAAGCGAACCCGGCCATCTTCCTATACCCGTACTAATCTTTCTCACCAGATTGTGGGAGCCGGCTCCCTGGCTGGCATTGCTTCTGCAGCCCCGGTGGGCGACCGCAACCTCGAACTCGCTGAGCGCGACGATAGTCTGAGCTCCCGGTCTACCAGTGCGACGGTGACTGTTAGCGGGCTGGCAGTTACCTCCATCAACAACAAGGATGGCAAAGGGGCTGGCAAGGACTCCTACACCATGTATACCGGGGACGGCTCGACCAGCGCCGGCTGGCCCGCCCAGTCTGACTGGTAAGTTTGTCCTCAACGCTCGGTCCAAGTGCCCGTTCTAACCGTTCCTCTAGGGTCTCGTTCGAGAACATGCAAGCCAACCCCCCCAATTCCTTGCCGGCAAAGTCCCCGTAATCGCCAGCTAACACAATACTGACAGGTGGAGTGCCAACAAGGCCACCATCGGCAAGTCCTGTGCCCAGTTCGGAGTGGCCGACAACTCCGCGACTGAGACCCAGGAGTTGTACGATGCGATCCAGGAGGTGGCGACCAGCTCGAAAGTTGACCACCGCTTCATCCTGGCGGTGGTGATGCAGGAGTCCAAGGGTTGCGTGCGGGCCCCGACCTCGACATACAGTGTCAGCAACCCCGGCCTGATGCAAAGCTACGAGGGCACTGGGACCTGCAACAACGGGGGCAGCGTGAAGAACCCTTGCCCCAAAACGGAGATCGTGCAGATGATCAAGGATGGAGGTATGATTCTCCCATCGGGAACGTCTCTCTAGGTCACCCAGCTAATGCCCCCCAGCTATTGGAACCAGCGACGCTGATGGATACGGTCTCGCCTCGCTGCTCGACAAGTCTGCCCGGACCAACGCCGCGGGCTTCTATCGTGCGGCCAGAATGTACAACTCGGGTGCCTGGTCTATTCCGTCCTCTGGCAATCTGAGTGGAGCTGGGGCGACGGCTTGTTACGCTTCTGATATTGCTAACCGGTTGACTGGATGGGTGAGCGCTGCCACCAAGTGCACTGCCTGAGTATGGAATTTGGGGTGAGGTGTGAAGTCTGGTGCAGTAGGAGGTGCCATAGTTCGGTCTATGTATTGGTTTTATTGTCTGCTGTTCCAGTTCCTTGTTCTATTAGAGTATCAGATACGCTTATATATTTACCGTTTTTCTAGATCTATAGCACGACCTAGTAGGTTGGGCCATGTAGGCTATGAACGGTCTGACTCAGCAATGCATGCACAATTTCCCCGCTCGTAGAGGCCCCTTGCCAGTGCCTTGTTTCTTCGGATCGTCTCGGCGATCCGACACTGATATAACGATATAACGTCCTGAACCCTTCATCATGGTTATTCGAACGCTGTCTCAAAATCCGTGGGAAACAAGCACTCGATCCGCCCTGGTGCGCATCTCGACCCACAGCCTATTTATCTCCACCAGCGGCCCCCCGCGTCATCCCGGTAGCCCCGTCGTGCTCTTCTTTACCGGTGGTGGCGCCCCCAGTGCCCTCTACCTGCGCCTGCAACGTCTCCTATCCGTCCGCCATCGGGTCTACTTCCACGATCGAGCAGGTTATGGCGACTCCGAACTCGGGCCAGGTGGTACTGGAATTCATTTGGGGACAATGTTGACGGCTCAGACCGCGGCCAGGGAGTTGGGGGAGTTACTTGACGTGATCGGCGTGGCCCCCCCGTATATCCTTTTGAGTCATTCGTATGGGTCCATCTGTGCCAGAGCGTTTGCTGGACTCTTTGATCCCATGCAGCCGTCCGTCGCGGGGATGGTCCTGGCCGAATCTGCGACCGAGCTGATGTTCGAGCTGTTCCAGCCGTCCGTTCCACCGCCAGCGTTCACGGCCATCGCTCGCGGAGTGGATATTGAGGCTGTCACGCATGAAATGGAACGATCACGTCTGACAGATCAAGAGCTGGCATATGTAAAAGCTCAGTTGAAGAAGAGCGCCCGTGGCAGTGCCCTAGAGAAACCCAGGCTGAGTGCTAAGCGGCTGCTCAGGGAACAGCAATTTGCCCGACAAGTGCTTGGAAATGCACCTCTCAGTGTCATTTGCGCGGACTTCACGAAGGACTTTCGATTGATCTTCGAGGCAGGAGTGCGGATGGGAAATGGGACGAGGGCTGAGAGGGAGGAATGTACACGGTTCTTTGAGCAGGCGCAGATGTTCAATGATGAGCTTCGGGCGGGTCAACTCAGGCTGTCGGGCTGCAATCGTTTTCGAAAGGTCCTAGAGGAGGGCCACAGTCTCCCTATTACGCATCCGGAGATCTTGGTGGAGGAAGTACAGTGGGTGGTGGATCATTTGAAAGGGAGAGTATCAGGACATTGAAGGAGATGGCAAGCTGTGTTTCTTATTTGACGTAGACTCTATGCACTACACTCATTATGTGACATGTTTTTGCTATATTACTAATGAAACATTCCTTCGGGGTGCTGTTCCCACTCAGCCAGTCTACAGCCAAGGTAAGGCCTCACAGCTTGGCTTTCACTGGATCCACCTCGTTGCGCTTCTTCACAATCAGAGGATCTTTGGGGGTGTGAGGGAATTTGGGGAGGTTTTTGACATCCACCCCAAGGGTGGCAGCCATACTCTCCGGCGTCAACAAGGTGGCAGCATTCCGGTAGCCCACGTCTTGCGGCATGGGCTGATCGAAGAAGATCAAGAAGTGGATTCTACCATCTCCCACTGCCTCAATCTGATGCGGGTAGGCCACAGGGATGTAGTACACATCACCGGGCTTCAGGATATAAGTATCGACCGACCCGTCGGGGTCCATGACCGACATGCGCCCTGTACCCTCAGCCACGTATCCCATCTCGGCCGTCGACGGATGCCAGTGCGGCTCCCGCATACCGTCCTCCTCCACTCGCAGAGAATACATGGACATGTTGGGCAGGGCGGGCCAAAACTGACTCTTGGCTGTTCGTGCGGTGCCGAAATCATGGGAGGTGGGTGGCGTCATGCCTTCGACGTCGAACTTATGGCGGTTGGGCAGGAGAGCAGTGCGAGGCAGATCGACCTCTCCCTGTCGGCGAACCATATACTTGGTCTGTGTATCCCTGGCGATGTTCTTCCAGTCAGACGCGTGGTGGTCGTAGGTGTTGCCTAGGACCGTATCGCTCATCGCCCCCAGGGAGGCGGCGAGGGAGAAATCCGTCGGGCGCTCGTGGCGAAAACAGATAATCAGCTCTGCTTCACCTTCGCCGATGTTCTCGATGTGATGCAGAGAGCCGGATTCTACGAAAAACATCTCTCCCCGGTTCAGGGTGAACACGGAGAATTCGTTACCGCTGTCGAGGATGGAGATGAGAACCTTGCCGTGCAAGCAGTAGGCCAGTTCGTTGGCATTGGCGTGCCAGTGGGGCTCGCGGATCGCATTGCGCGCCAGACGTAGACGCTTGATGGACAGGTTCTTGAGGATGGGGAGATCTTCGGCGGTGATGGCTTGGATGGAGCCCAGCTCGGAGTGGTAATGCGGCTTCTTGTGCAGGAGAGAGGCCACGTGGGGCGAGTTATCGGACATCGTTACTATTTAGACTTGTGTAGAGGATGAGATAGAGAGTTGGATTTGACGGTCTGTTGAGTGACTCCAGAACTGACAGATTAATTGCTTTATATGCTGAGGAGCCGTACACTGACGATAGATTGATGGCATCATGTTGGTGACAGCCATGCGGATTGAAAGGAGTCTTTGAAGTGTGCCTTGGGTCAAGATTGCACAAGCCTGGTGTTCGGCTAAGGCTAATGCGTCAGCTTGGTCAAGCTTTCCAGTTGAGTCTGCCAGAAATCTTGGTTTGATCTCCAATCCAGACTGGCGAGTGGATCAGGGGAGTGGGGCCTGTGCCTTGTAGGGCTGAAAACCCCGGTTTTCCGAGTGGACCAAAATCCCTCACTCAGCCCTCCTTGTAGGGCTTCCGTGCTTCCGGATTGCAGGCTTTCCACGAGAATGACATAACCCAAGACCCTGCCACCGTCCTTCGTAGCGTACAGAATACGTCATAGGCTTCCTAAGAAACTGTTCGAGCGCAGTCGGTCTTTCGGTCGCAGGATCAGCTCTCCGGGAACAGGCTAGATCCCTCTCAAGCAACTTCGCTGCCTACCGTGCGTCCAATGGTCATCTCTCGCCAGATCCTAGCTTTTAGACTGATACTTTGACAAAATGACGTAGTAGCTAGTTCCTTGGGGACAGTCTTCCGGTTTTGCCGTGATATCCGGAGGGCGGGAAAGCCGGGGCGCATCATATATTGCGCAACGAAACTGAGATGGCACAAGTAACTGTGCGCATCTGATCATGAATAATAACACACGGGAAAGATAAAAAATCTTTATTCTCTCTATGGTACAATCCCACGTGAAAAGAGCATCGGAACTGTTTTTTATCCTGAAGCTGCACCGAACCTGAATTCATTGGCCAGTACAGGACTGGGTTGGTCCTTTACGTAACTTAGTTAACTACCTACTAACCATTCCATGCTGACTCACTCAGAAGATATGCTTGGTCAGACACAATTTCGTACCATTACTAAGCAGTCAATCATGCGAATAGCAGATCTACAGACGTTCATGTAGTTAAAAACAGGGGCTTAGTAACCATCGAAGAGGATGCAACCGCGAGAGAAAGTGAGGATATGGCCTGACTCACAAGTATCAAATTCTTATCACTGCTTCAACCCCATGATCACACCGCATGACACAACGGCTCATCCACCGACTCGACCCAGTACTCACTCCCAACTGCCGTGCGAGCGTAGAAAAAATGATCGGGGTCGTACTTGAGCTTGATAGCGGCTAGTTTTGCGTAGTTGCTTCCATAAAATGTGGATTGCCAGTTGGGCTGGTCGATGTCAGCCTCGTTGAGATAGGCGCCACTTCCTGGGGTCAGCTGCTCAAGCAAGGGGAGGAGGGTGCTGGTGATTAATCCTCGGCTCATCCGGTTCGCAGTGCGGTTGTGGTAGTCAAACGGCCTGTGTGATGAGTCAGATGTGCCTCAGCCCAATTATGGTCTTGCAGTGAACCAAGGACTTACATGGCAATGACAATAGAGATAGCTGTGTCGCGCCAGGGCGGATTAACCGCGTTATCCGTGACGGGGGTGCGGGAGACGTTCAACAACACCCCAGACACGACAGCTCCATGTTCGGTGATAGTCTGGAGAGCATGAAACAGCTTGCTGAGATTCCTGTCTACCGTCGACCGTGGAATCAAGCGCCCGCCGATCTGGTACTCGGTTACGTTGCTAGACCGGTTCATTTCCCTGTAACTGTCGTAGAAGGTGGTGTATTCATGGATGGTAGTTGAAGCTCATCTGATACCGAACCACGAGGTCCAAGGTAGGCTGTAGCCAGGTCTGCAAGAGTGCCTGTGTGCCACCAGGGACTGTAACGGGGGATACTACGAATGTCCTGTTGGTTAGTTCCCAGATGGCCACGCCGCCAATGTCGGTCAGCGGTTGAATTCCCGCCACAAAGATCGGTACCACTTCCCAGAACCGCGGTGAGAATTGGGGATCGATCGAAAAGGTCAAGTTGGCAGTTGCGGTGCGGAGCTCGGGACAGACCTTGCTGGTCATCGAGATTACGACCCCGTAGGTGCCGCCACCACCGCCGCTCAGTGCCCAGTACAGGTCTGGATTCTGCGTCGGCGTGGCGGTTATAACCTCATCGGCAGCGGTAACAACATCCCAGGCCAGCACCTGATCGGCTGCCAACCCAAGCCAGAAGGCTAATTAACCGTGACCCCCTTCTTGAGAGTATCCTCCCGCCACTCCCACGGTTTTACAGTTTCCGGCTACTAGTATATTGCTCTGAGCATGCACCGCCGCTATTGCTTCAATATCCTGCAGTCCAGGCCCAAACTTAATCGCCCGACTGCAGTAGTGCGGGGAGGTATAGTCTGAAAACTCGATATTCTTCATATGATAAGTCCAGAGTACGACCGTCCCTACTCTGGAAGATTTTCCTAAGTAATTGTAACCGGTGTTGCGTATTACAAGTCGGATATTGTGCTGTTTGGTGAATTAAATAGTCTGCTGGTAATCCCGGATACTGGTCGTCTTGACTGAGTAGCGCACCAGGGGCCCAATCTAACAAGGGGTGTGTGCATTTAAAAACAGCTCGCAGGAGAAGTTTCCAACCTAAGGTGCCATCGGAGAGGCGCTATCGCGAGTATATATACTCGGGTAGCTCTATATAGAGCGCAGCTCTTTACAGGCCCCGGGGTCGTACGTGGTAAAAGCATTATTCAGATGGCACACGCTGGGTAAAGACACGGTAGCAATAAGCTTGCTTTTCAAGCTAACGTTGAATGCATTTCTTTCTTGTTTGGTCGGCCAGCAGCTGTCGCCAGGAAAGCATTTATAATAAATAGAAGGAAGTGTGGATAGGAGCTCGGGGGTAGACGGAGGAGTAGAAAGTAGGGCTGCGAGAACTCTGCTGACTATAGACAGCAGAACCCCCAGAACAGGAGATGGCCTTGCAACCATGCTGCAGGCCAAAAGATCTTTCTGACCAAAATAGGTTCCGACGTAGGGCTTATTGTTTTTATTTATGTATCTTTTTTAGTATCTGCTCGGTGGCTCGCTCGGTCTGGTAGCAATTAAAAACCTTTCCGATTATATCAGCTCTCGATGCCTATTTTTTCGTGCTTGAAACAAACTTACCACTGCTAATTAGATTTATTAGGTTTTAATCTGGCATGTTTATAGTAGAGTAATTCAGATACAATGTTAGACTAATACAGCCCTTCCTAGGTGGTTGTATCTAACTACAAGCTCTTGAGGATGTCTGCGGCTCTCTCCGCCACCGCGTATACTGTTGCCATCGGGTTCGCATGGGGCATCAGAGGGAAGATACTGGCATCTACCACCCGAAGATTTGTAGTACCGTACACAGTTAGTGTAGAATAGACTACTTTCTTCTTTTCGAGCGGTAGTATAGCGACAGATCCGCAGGTATGGTGTGTTGTGAGTGCCTTCTTCCGTACTGCGGCTTTAGTAATCTCCAAACTGGCCTCAGTGGGAGCCAGACCACGGTCGAAGAACTTGTGTAAGGAAGGAGTAATAGAAAGGTACTGTACCGCCTGCTAATGACGAGCCATAAGCTCTAAGTCTAATAGGTGCGAAAAAGACTGCGGGTTAATGCTGGATTTTGCATGGGGATCCGAAGAGGCGATGTGTGTATAACCGACAGACAGAAGAAAACACGGGATTAGACCGAACAATGCCACTGGCCCAGGTATTGTACTCAGGAATATGCAGGCTGAAGCTTTATCTAGATTAGCTAGAATTAACTCAATGGCCTGCGTGCGCCCCGAAGTTGCTGATCTCTCGGACGATAGGAACTGGTCCAGAAGACGCAGATCCTTCTGGTTGTTGAGTCGTATAAAGGCGAGGGCTTGAAATCCTGGGTTCAGATCTTCTATTTCAGAAATGCGGGATAGTAGACAGGGAATTATTGCTATTAGATGGTTCTGCATATTGGCTCCCACGCCCCGATTGCTGATTAAGACTGGGATTTTGTGGGCCCCAGTACAGCTGGGTCCCCCACCCCTGACAGTTCCAGTAGTTTGGGGGTCTGGAAGACTCCCGCTGCAAGTACTATCTTTCGATTCGTCCGAACAAGCTTCAGATCTGGGTTATCAGTAATTTCAACTAAGATCCAGGCTGCTCGGTACCGGTCCCCGACAGCTGGCGAGTTAAACATAATACGATGGACTGTTGCCGCCGTCAGAATAGTTAGATTCGGGTGTTGCGCTGCTACTGCGCTATACGTAACATCTGCGCTGCTTCGCTGAGCGCAATTAGGATTGATAGTTGCGGTGTACGGTCTAGTACCAACGGTCGGCCTTTCGAGAACCAGTTTACTGGTATAAGCATACTTCTGGTTACTGAAGGCACGATTCCAGGCTTAAATAAGAGGCTGGTTTCCCTCCTGTGCTAGGGCCGGAGAAAACAATTAAATCGGGCCCGGTCTGTTAAAAGAGCGCTGGAGATAGACAGACAAAGTCTGCCAATTCCAACCGGGATTTCCCATCTGTTCCCAGGTATTTAGTCCTGCAGCGGATGGAGGGACAAATACCAGGCTATTAATAGCTGATGAACCGCCCAGGACATGTCCGGCCGGATGTTCTTAGGAGCGTTTATTTAGTTCTTTCTAAAATAATCTTAAATTGCCAGTCGAGCTTCGAGCCCGATAAACTTAGCCAGGCCATAAGGTCTGTGATATAAGAATCTTTTGCTCGGTTGGGACCACTTTCTAATACCAAAATCGACACCGTGGGGTCCTCCGAGAGGAGATTTGCCATCACCAGGCCTGATGTGCCCCCACCGACAATAATGTAGTCGGCCGTTTTGAGAGGAGGGGAATGGGAATCCATGGGGCTTTTGCGAGGGATAGTGAATCGGTATGATTTAATGGGTGGTTCAAGCAAAGGTAAAGCAAGTAAGCAGTACAGTATAATGGTTTAGGGTAAAGCAGTCTTCCGCCGCCATATTCTTATATTGTATACTCTACGGAGTAGTTTTAATCCCACCCAATATTCCCCCAGCGTGATGAGTAGCCGGACCAAAAAGCCCACAATGGTAGTAAATACAGCGTTACCAACCACAAACACCACAAGCGCCAAGCTAAGGCATCCGCCGCAGCCGATCGTTGAGAAAACAGCTGCAGCCCCACGCAGACCGCCATTCCTAAGGGCGCAAACAACCCCCATGGTGGGAGTTTCCAAAACGTAACGCAGACGAGACTTCAGGCCAAGGTGAATAATATAATAAGCCGGTGTGAGACCGTGTCACCTAGCCATAAGGGCATCGACAAGAGACCACGGGAACGATTATTTTGTTGATCCTTCAAATCCTGGATCTGTATGGTGGTTCAAATTACTCTACTGATGATGGCAATCCAGATGTACCCCTGCGAGTCGAGGGTACAGCCATCCAGAGCAATGAAGAGAGAGGCCCCATTGAACAATCTATAGGTGATGGCAATCAACGCGTCATGCAGGAGCCCGTCTCTGCCCTTAAGATTGTTGTAGAGCCAGGTGATCAGCAGGATCAGGCAACTTTCCTGGCCTACTTCCAACCAATAGTTTAGTGTCAGAGTGAGGGGAATGGCGGCTAACAACAGCTGCCGGTTTGGTCCCCGGTAATGCGCCCTGCGGGAATAGGACGCCACAGCTTGTTGATTTTGTCTTTTTGTACTGACTCGGGTAATTGCTGGTTGGCCAGATCAAAAATGAACACCGTGACCCAGTTGAATAGAATAATGAAGGGTAGTCGGAATAGAAGCATGACTTTGAGGCTTGGAGAAGAAATGCAGCTTGTTAGAACGTCCCCCGCCAGGCCAGCTAACATGCTAAATATCATGTTTGGAAGCACAAAGGTAGAAATGTTGCTTTCAGTAAAGCACCAGACCAGTGATGGTAGGTTTCTCGCGTGGAGCCGCGGTTGCTGAGCCTTTGACTATGTTGCATACATCGGGATAGTGGATAGTTAATAGTCTGACCTCCATAGGGTACCGGGTTGCGCAAAGAAGTATTTATTTATTAGATACAGCCCATCTCTACAAGAATTTGCCAACAATTGGAGGTGTATAATCTATGTCTGATATTTCAATTCTATTGCTCGTATTACAGTAATTATGGCTGTTAGTCCGCGCGGTCTTGAGCTTGCCATCTGGATTGCCGTCTTTATTCTTTTTACTACTCTCATCCTTGGTCTTCGATTCTGGGCCATTGCTATTACCCGGTGTTCCCTTCTCGCGCACGATTGGCTCGTTATTATTGCCTACTCCAGTACCTGTTGCATGGCCGGTGTCTGCTGGTGGGTTATTGCTAATCAACTGGGTGCTTATACCACTACCCTATCAGCTTACGAACTGGGAGTTTAGTACCAGCTTATTGTCGCCAGTAGTGTGATCTGGCTAATATAAACTGTCTGTTGCAAATGCTTAATTATATCCCTGTATGCCTCGCTGTTTTCCTCGCGCGGCTTTAATCGGATGCTCTGGACAGCCGCCGCCTGCGTCGTGGCCTACTTCGTGGCTTTTCTACCCATCTTTCTCACTCAGTGCCATCCTGTGTCTTTTGGCTGGAACCACGTCAAGAAAGGATACTGTCGTTCCCTATACATCTAGGAGATCTTGTCCATATCAATTAACATGATTATCGACACAGGCATCGTGCTGCTTCCTATTCCTGCACTGTGGAAGCTCAAGATAGCCACTCGCAACAAGCTTATTATTACTATTATGTTTGGTCTTGGGTTGATGTAAGCACCCGCCCCGGTTTGTATTCAAAGACCAGCTGACACTCCTCCTAGCGTAGTTGTTGTTATGGCTTTGCGCCTTCGTATTACCCTGGATCTAACGACCAACCTCGACTTTGTCTACGGACTGTATTCTGTCGCTCTCGTGAGCTTCTTGGAGCTTTGGCTCAGTATGATAATTGTTTGTTTACCTGTACTAGCGCCTCTGTATTGTTGTTACATTGAGCCCTATTTGTATTGTATTCTTGGCTCTTCGGGGAATGCAGAAGCACCCCTAGAAGCACCGCTGCGGGAAGGTTAACACATCTTTAGGAGTAAGCCGGTGTATCGTTGTTCCAGACCCAATGATGTAATGATGCTCGATTGCTCTTTGGACGTCGACGAGGACGGCGAGTTGCGGTCTTTAATAATAAAGCCTCCGGCTACATCTCGAGTTGTCGAGCATATATGATTTTTGGTACCAGGAGGAGGGGGTACCGACCGTCCTAGAGTAGTAAACATCCATATACTTTACTAAACAACATTATCAAGCGCTACAATACACAGATCATGCTATCTTGACACATCAGCCACGTAGGCAGTATCTTATCTTGCTTCCGATTGGATCTTCTTCCGTGGTTCGAATTGTAATTGCAAACGCCCAGGATTGGAGGTGAATTGATCTCTTATATTGTTTAATACCTGGTTCCCGTTCTTACCCGGGGGAAACCGGATAATATACCTGTCCACTAACCGCGCTGTTATAAGGCGTAAAACATCCAGGCCAAGAAACTTGTCTAAGCAACTATGATGGCCTAGATTATTGCGTGTTCAGTATTAGTATTTGTTGCATATTGTCCTTGCAGGCGATAGTAAGTAGCGCGTTGACGTACCAGTTCCGAACGGAGCGTAAGCCGCTTTGTTACGTACTATTTCCGGTCTTTCCAACTACTTCTTGGGGAGGAATTTCTCTGGGGATATAAAACAGTCCTTTCCTACAGTTACAGGTCAGTCAACTGCGATTGCTACTAGGATGCAATAAGACTGTGTTCGTACGACGAGAGATACTCCACCGTGGGGCGACGATAGTAGTGAATTGGGGGATATACACCCCCCCGATGACGAGGCTGTCCGCCGCGGTCTTCCGGTTGCCCCCGGTGGGTAGTGCGGGATAGAGACGCAACGCCTCAGTAATTACTGCTTCTAGATAAGAGTAATTCCGAAGCAGGGTGCGAGAATCGGAGAGATCGACCCCACGGGTCTTCTGGTAGATGCGTGCGGCGTGGGTAGGGTTCCGTCCAAGCTCGCAGAAGATCCCTACGAGAACAATAACAGTTGGCTTATTATTAGCGATAACTACTAGAATGTTGTCGCCAGTCAACCAAGTTGGGTGGTTCAAATTGGTGCGGGTATCTTCCATTAGATAGTGGGCCATGTCGGGGACGCGATGCGGGTCTTGGGGCAGCTGGTTTATATCGTTGTTAGTAGGAAAGAATCGTAAACACGGAACAAGTGCCCGATAAGCAAGGGGTGACTGATCTTCATTCGCTGGCGCATCTGTAATTCGGACTAAGCAAGCATCTCAAACCAATCTCTCAAAAGCCACACGCGGGGAAACAGCTTGAACGCAATGTGAATAAACCACGGTATCGGACTAAAGGGCCCGAGTAGGGACAGAGCGCGCTGTAATAAGATAACAATATGATGCCATCGCTGGCTATGTAGTATATGGAATGATTTATTGAACACAAAATCACCCATCGCGTCAAAGCCAAACCAGTAGAAAAGGTCTGTGACTTCAGATATCTTGTCTTTTTGGGTATCGCCAGCAACACACGCTTCCAATTACTCGATATAAGCTCGAAACTTGGCTTTGTATTACTCTAGAGCTAGGTTTTACTGGTCAGTCCGGATCGTAGACATACTACATTCCAGCGACTACTTATCTTTGGCTGAGAATTCTTGGTTCTACTGATGACGGCGGCTGGTATGCGTGTCTTTATTACGAGCAGTAATAAGAGCTATCTGAGGATGTAAGATATTATATTATTCCGCCTTGATGCAGCTGCTTCGCGGCCTATCTATTGTTATGAAGACCTCGGGGTGGAATACTGTGAGCCTGCTCGGTTCTAAAAGGTCAGCGTCTTTATAGATTCCGTACGGCTGGTGCCATACCAGTGCGCACGAAGTCACCATATTGGTTGCGTAGATTCTGCAATACTAAATAGTTCCGGGAATGTCGAGCCTTTTATACATGCCATAGCTTGCTTACTCGCGCAAGATGAGGCCCGGGAAAGCCGTAAAGCCGATGAAAGAACAACTGATAAGAGATTATACTGCTGGTAAGTGTTGTCAGATAACTAGCAATCAGCAGAAACGCCATCTCGAATCGATGGGTCGGTCTGACCAATATCTAGGAGAAGCAGACGATACCTCTAAACGCATACAGATGAGCTACTGCCACAGTGGGAGCCTGTAGATGCCATTCTTCTTTGATAAACAACCCGTGGTGAAGAAGCTAATATAACAGCATGTTTGCGATGGTTATCGTGGAACAAGCACAAGTTGATAGAGTCTATTTTTGCGCAATTAGTATGGTTCTACTCACGGTGTTGCTGCCAAAGTTAGAATCTATTAGGACTACTCTATTTAATATAGTATTTTTATATCTCCTTCAAAGAATGCTCGAGCCCCTAATTCTAAGGTTATATAGTGAGATCGGGTTCTTGGTAATTGCAAATCATATTCATATACTGATTGTAACAAGTGTTTTATTGTTTGCTGTGGTAATCTTCTCTTCTTTTTATTTTTTTATTTTGTTTTATTTTTATTTTATTTTACTTTAATTTTTTTTTCAGTGTTACGCAGGTCGACGTATGATTTCAAAAAGCAAACAAAGCAGCAAAGGAACAGAACCCCTGCGAGGAACTGCAGTAGGATATTCCTGCGATCGAGCAGATAGTATGAAACTTAAGTTTGCTTTCAGTCTCTCTCTTTTATTTATCCTGTACAGGTGCCCCGCGTGGGGATTTTACTAGGTTGTTATTTCCTATTACAATTATATAAGTCATCTCCGCCAGATTCTCGATTGTCTTATGATTGTCTAAGTCCTTCCCCTCGGCTACTGCTTTCTATTCCCTTTGTCAAAACTATCTCCCGGTAGACTTCTCTTACTGCCAGACGATGAGACTACTACTATCCTCTGCAACGCCAATGTGGCACAATGATACCTACCCGGCCATCGCGCCTACACGGCCAGAGCTGAGCATTTATTACTGGTGCGGTGAGCAAATCCGCTCTCTCTGCTATATTTCTTCTTCTAGTATTTACTGATATGATGCTACAAACTAGGGTAGTGGTATTGGTCGAGCCACAGTATGCGCGTTTGCGAAGGCCGGCGCCAGCTTATTTGTTCTCATAGGTTGTAATGAATCCAAGTTACGGGAGACTAAGCAAAATTTCCTGGGATTCTAAGTTAAGGTTGTTGTTTATTCCATCGACGTGACTGATGAGGCTCGTGTGAAAGAGATTGCCAGTGGGTTAGACCCATGGGATGTTCTTATTCTTGGCGCAGCCTTCCTCGCCACCCCGTCATCCATCGCCGAGTCTTCCACCGAGAGTTGGTGGCAAAGCTTCGAAGTAGGTTTATCTTGTCAGGTGAGAGTTATTTCTGACGTCGTTTGCAGACCAATGTCAAAGGAACGATGATGCCGGCTAAGTGCGTTCTCCCCAGGGCTAGTCCAGGCGCTGCCATCATTGCCGTCGCTGCTGCCACTCTGTTGCCGCTCACCATGGTCCCGGGACTATCGGCCTATCTCAGCTCCAAGCTGGCCTTAATCAAGATGATGGAGTACCTGGCAGCGGAGAACCCATCGCTGTTTGTGGCCACTCTTCATCCTGGTATGGTAGAGACCGAGATCTTCCACAAGAGCGGCGGCCAGGCAGATCAGTTGCCAATGGACACTGGTACGTTGTATGTGCTCCAAGTCATCATTCGGGGCTAACGCGTCTTCAGTGAATTTGCCAGCCGAATTTACTGTTTGGCCCTTTCCGTACTTGTAGCCCGACCAACGGTGGTGTTAACCCAGTGAGGGTGGGACCATCTATCGGGTGACGAAGCGATAGCGTCCCTGCTTGTGCTCCGAGATATATAGTCGCATTCAGACCTTAGGTTGAAGCTGAAGGTAACCCCTTTAGGAGCCTTACATAGTCCACTTATGAGAAGAAGAAGGAATAGTCAAATGTCGAGAGAGTACCACGGTATTATGCCAAATTCGAATTGTGGGCCTGGAGTCTCCACTTATCACAGTAGCAGACCAGAGCGCACTTCTTGTTGATGAGAGGACACAGTCAGTCAGCAGGGAGCGAGTCACGTGGGACGTACGACGTTACTTGGAGCCGTGGTTTGCAGTGTTTGTTTGTCCGTCCCCGACCGAGCCGCGCAGAACAAAAGACAAACACCACCAGCACCACCACAACAACCAAAACAATGTTCGTGATCTCGCCATTCTCTCCTCCACTCTTCCATCTGTGTCTCCGCAATATTATATTTGCGATTGTCTCGACTATAATCACTCTAGTCAGCCATGGAGGTACATAGTGCTCAATAAAAGCTAGCCCATCTTGGACTATGCAGTCAAATCGCCCGCAATGGCTTTCGCACTCCCGCCAACCCCCGTGCCAAATCCAACACCGAGTATTCCGTACTCATTGGACACCTGATAAATCGTTGAGCTGTACTAAAGCCCTTGGCAACCTTGAAAACCAACAACCAACTGCAGAGGTCAATCACTTAGGTACCAACAACTCTCTTTCCTAATCTCCCATGAACCGTCCGGCATCCCTCATACAAGCCCAGACAGAGTACCTAGCTTCTAGATCTGCCTTGAATTTTGTGCGAATGACTCACGCAGGTCCAGAGGGACGGTAAAAGCTAGCGGCAGCCTGTGTCTTGCGTCTATCTATTCCCGAGAGATAGCTTCCGATAATGTAGGTAAATAGCAAGCCTCAAGGGCGATGTCCCTATACGAACCTGCGAACACAGTCTGCAGACAACCATCAAGAGTAGCTGGGTGCAGACTAATATGGTGAACGGTATTTGAGCCTCCACGGCTACAATCAACGAACCACAGATGAAAAAAGAAAACCACGCATCATAATTTCTCTAGGCTGATATCATCCCTTCTGGCCGCGTGCCCAGTGGAATCTTCGAGGTACACAAGGCCAAACCACCGATCACGAGTAGTGCCTACAGCGACACTTACCGCACCGGACAATGCACTCCTTGGCATCAATAGCGCACCAGAACTCCCCACCACATTTGGGGATCCTGCAGAACGATGTGTTGTTCAGGACTGTCAAGCACTGCTCCATGCGTCTATAATGTGACTGAACTCTCTCATGTTCACGCTCTGCCATCCGACGCTCGAAATCTTTGCTGGATAAATCGGACTTCAGCTGGTCATTTTCATTCAACAGTCCCTGAATTCTTTCCCAGCACCCATGCAGCACTTTCCCGGCAAACTCATAGATGGGCTCGATTGAAATGAAGTCTTCTAGATGGATGATAGAAGCCAGCTCTTTAGCAGTCACTTCAGCCAAGATGTCAAGCAGGCCTTCATTTGCTGTACAGCTTATGGCCAGCCAAATCGCGGTGGGAAGACTTGCAACCCAGGATTTGTCAGCCTTGGAGCTCTCATGCAGGTGTTTGATCTTCTGATTTGCAGCGGTCATAAGGCCATCGACCTGATAATAATCACCAATGGCGTTAACACGCATATGGTCAAGCAGAAGTGTGGCCGTATCTGGGCTCGAAGACGATGATTCAAGATCGGAAGGAGTCTGCGAAACACCTACGGCATTATCACTCGTTGAGAGGCTTCCATACCCGCCGGTGTAGAGATACTCAACCAGCGCCTTCACCGCCCCGGGCTGAAAGTTGTCCATGTTGATGATAGCAGTTTGGGATTCCTGGATAAGGTCCGGCTCGTTAGCCTAGTATCGCTATCACTCCCCCGGTAGCAGAATAAGTACTTCGAAGTTCCCCTCGACAGCTGCTTTGATCGGCGGAGGCTGGAGACAGACAATCGCCTTGTGGACATTCAAGCTCTGTCCATTGCAGACAAACCGAAGGTCACTGAATCCTCCCGAACTCATGATCCGAGTCAAGGTACTTTGCAGATCCAGGCTATGGTTGCCGACTGTGTAAGCCATTTGCTATGGTAAGAAGGAGTCAATACCGTCAAAACGTGTGTTTGTGGAGTGTGTGTGGAGAGTGTGTGTGGAGAGAGAGAGAGAGAGAGACAGAGAGAGAGTGTGTGTGTGGAATAGTAGACCAAACAAACTTTGAAGGGGGTCCCCTGATTGCTGAATTATAAATATAGGGGTATCAGTCTGATTCGGAGTGCAGGTCCGACAGTTGAAGAAAGAATTTCGTCACAAAATCATAAGCCGGACATGATCATATCTTACCCTGAATACATACGGTCAGCAAAGAGCCATACTAGTACTGTATTAGATGCTCCTAGATGTCGCCAGTGTTTATCACTATTACTCGGTGGTGTTCACAGGCTGCTTGTGCCTCTGGCCATTGTGCTCCAGTTACTTCCTCAGGGCTTTCTCTCCATGTCCAAGAAATGTAACCCGACCTCTGCCTCTTTAATAATCTTGTTCGTGCCAGATTTGTTCTCAAGAGCCAATCTCAGAGAAACACAATCTAACTGGGTCATATAGCTTTTATCCAGGAGCTATCGTTGGCGCCGTCTTCGATGATGCGTCCGTCAGCCTTGACGAACAGGGCACAGGCACGGATTGCCCCGCAGTGCCTTAGCTCTACCGAGCCGACGAATAAGCTATGCCAGTATTATGGGCAGCAATCCTTTCAAAGTATGATATAATCCCGGATATCCTTCCTCAGTGCGGTACTCTCATTCAGAATTTTCTTATATATTACCCCCAATCACCCCACCGGCTTGCAGCAGTATGAAGTATTATCATTTGAGATCTCCACACCTAACCACCGCGTAGCTATCCTTATTACCCATTCCCGAAAATGTCCACGAACAACCCTCGATACAGTATTATCATCATCGGCGCCAGTCCTTTCAGGCATCAACCTCCTCTAAAGTCTCTGTAAACTAGGATACAGCTGTTGGATCTACGAGTCGGGCACCGACATCGGCGGCGTGTGGCACTGGAATACTTACCCAGGTTGCCGGGTCGATACACTGGGCTTCATCTACCAACTATTCATTCCGGACGTCTCGGAGACATGGTCATTCACCGAGAAGTATCTCTCTGCAGACGAGTTCAGGGTGTACTTCACGCATGTAGATTAGGTGCTTGGGATCAAACAGGACGTGGAATCCGAGACGACTGTGACTGGGGCCTGGTATGATGTTAGCGCGGGGCTTAATGCGCTTGAGGAGGACGCACGACTCATCTTCATGCAGAGAGAAAAGACATTCAGCGGGTATCTGGATCAGCCGAGTCCGCAGGCAACCTTTGACGTCCTATTGGAGAAACGCGAGGCGCTTGATGAGTAGCTATACAACCGAGGGGGGTTCGCGTTTCTGCCCAGAGGGTATAGCTACCTGCTGACGAACGAAAAGGCGAACCGAGAGGCTTATGACTTTCGGGCGAAGAGGACGCGAGCAAGAATAAGCGACCTTTTAAGGAGAGATATCCTGGCCCCTCTCGAGCCGCCACACCCGATCGGTGCCAAGAAGTCGTGTTTCGAGTAAGACTATCACGAGATTTTTAATAGGACAAATGTGGAGTTGGTTAACGTGCGCGACGCCAGTCACGGTATTTCGGCTATCAGGCCCAAGGGGATAGAAACCGAAGACGGTGGATTTTATCCTGTCGACGCAAGTGCCTTTGCGACGGACCTTAACTGTTTTACTGGTAGCCTAACCCGCATTGCTGCGCTTCGCAACACTTCCGGTACATCGCTCGCAGACGAGTGAGGTAATAACGGCGCCAGCGTATTCCTGGGCATGACCCCTAAGGGGTATCTTAATATGTTCTTGTGTTATGCTGTGCATGGCCCAACAGCACTGAGCAACGGCCCGGCTTTAATTGAGATGCAGTCCCAGTGGATTGTCGACGCGATTGGGGCAAACATCCCGGGTAGGAAGCGGGAGATGTTGGCTTTCCCGGGAGGGCTGCCATTATACAAGGATCTGTGTCGCAAGGCTCTGCAGAACTAGGATGGGTTCATTATTCAATAAGGGCTGCTGTGAACCGGGCGTGCCGAGAAGATTTATGTTTCCACCTTATGTCATTCTTGGCGTAGATTTGACAAATACGACCCATCCTGTTGAAGGCTTATCCAGACTCTGGGCTTGGCTGTATAGACCTTCCGCCTTCAACCCACTTCTCACAAAAGCTGATCGATCAAGCAACAGCCAAGTTCGAAAATCCATGGTGCTGACTTCGCAGGTTACACGGGAACAGTAAAGGTTTGTGGTGATGTGGTGGGTCGCTGGTGAGCCCGGCTTTGCTTGACAGCATGAAAAGGTATTTCGGAACTGTTTGCAGTGATTTATTCTCCACGTGCCGGTTGTGGATTTCTTGCAGCACAGTGAGCCCGTCATCACCCGTATCGGATATTCCTACGGAGTATATATCACCATGTCGTCCTTCTGTCTGCTAATCCTAGTTTATCAATATTATTCCAGTTGGAGTGTGTGGGACTCGGTGGCCAGCAGAAGTACTGTAGTTTCGATTAGAACCGGAATCTGCTTCAGCTTTGTATTTCGTAATGTGATAATTAGACGGGGATATGCCGGGGGGATGCCACCGACTTGTGCCTCCTGACCAAGACTACTAACCAGAGATATTGAGAGGCCACAGGGGTCGGCGGCATGTTCTTACATAGATGAAAGACGCCATCACTAGAGTGAAGAATGTACCGGCAGGTACCTGGGGCTGATGTCGAGCTGACAGTGGTTGAGGCAATCTCGGAAGCGCACGTTGTCTGCTAGATTGTGGATCCGAGACTAGGTAGTCACAACTCAGTTCTGTCCGTCAACCAGACTGGCTCCTTCGGTTATCTCCCGCCGCACTATACGAAGGTGGATGATCTACAATCGACATTCTGGCAGCAAAGCAATCGGACTGAGACATTGAGAATGCCAGGGGGAGGGGTGTGTTCGTGTCAGGGTGCATTGGTGCTTGTTTTGCGCCTCGTGTCAGCGGATTCGGGGTTCTTGGCACCCCAAACACCCAATCACCGGGGGTGGGATTCCGAGAAGGATCAGCACGGCAATTGGCGAGGTCGTATTCATATCGGAAAGTTCCCTGACCTTTCGAACCTCATCTCTGCTGCCTTCGGTCTTCCCTCGTCACCGGCTAGTGGCCTGCGCCAACCCTATAAATGGGGGCTCAGAAGTTGACATGAAGAAGCGAAACTACCTTATTCACAGGCCTCCTCCGCTGGTTACTTGTCGCTGCAGCTATGGCCACCGCCTCTCTCTTGTCTTTGTTTCTCCTCGCCGCCGGCTGCTGGGCGCTCCCATCGCAAGGAACGCCAGCGTGTCGCGCGGTCGATATCCCCATCACTGTGCAGGAACCGCGGTTCATTATTAACACCACAATCAGCAACGATTGGGATGCAGCATCATTGGTCTTTAATCTGACCCGACGCGACTCTGGCTCATCCGCCGACCCTATTCCGATCTCTGGGTCTACAGCCAGCCCCGTGGAGAGCAATTATACCATTGGAGGCACGCTCTGCGGCACCGGCGCGACGATTCTGGTTCTCACTCATGGTATCATCGAGTCCAAAGCGTACGTATCATACCCAATGAAAAGGGGTGAAGTGCAGTAACAAATGTCTGTGCAGGTACTGGGACCCTACTTTCCCCGGGTCTGACCCATACAACTTCGTCAAGGCCGCAGTCGCCGCCGGGTATTCGGTGCTGAACTACGATCGCATTGGCGTCGGTTCGTCATCCCGGGTTGACGGTCTGTTTGATGCTCAGTTCCAAGTGGAGACAGCAGTCCTGAACAGTCTGGTGGACTATGCTCGCCGACTGCCGCACGTCAGCAAGGTCGGGCTTGTCGGTCACAGCTACGGAAGCTATCTGGCAGCCGCATCGGCCGCCTCAGTCGCCGTGGACGCCCTCGTGCTGACCGGCTTCAGCAGCGCCTTCGACTATTTTGGGTATTTCTTGGCCGGGTCGCATCTGCGCCAGGCGCGTACCTTGTCGCCCTCTCGGTGGGGCACGCTGGATTCGGCCTACTTGACGGCCGGTGACCAATATGCCGTGGCCTACTACGGTTTCGCTGCTCCCCATTTCGACCCGCAGGTGGCGCAGTGGGCAGCGACGGTGGAGGGAGAGCCCTTCGCAGTGGGGGAGCTCCCTTCACTGCTGGCCTCCCCGATTCAATACTCCCGCATTACTGCCCCCGTCTACCTCGTTCAGGGCCAGTTCGATCTGTCCTCCTGTGGCGGCAATTGTAGGGGACAGTTGGAAAACAGTCCGGCCACATTCAACAATTCGCGGGTGGTAAACTGGGTGGATGATCTTCCTGCCGGGTGAGTCTCTTGCACAGTCTTGAGATATGGTTGTCTCGTACTAACCCTAACCCTCCCCAGACACAACCTCAACCTTCACACGGTCGCACCCCAGGCCTTCCAGTTAATATTCAAATTCCTTCAAGCACAGGGATTATGAGGCTTGCTAGGAACGGTCCAGGTCTATAGAGACAAACATAATATGCCATGTAGGTGAGCCTTGAAAGCGACGCGGGAGTCGGAGAACGAAGAACTGTATATGCCAAGGAACACCCCACGCGGTGTATCTTCAGTGTCTATCTGGTTTTACATGCATCACTTGTCCAGATTGCTCTATCTGCCGTCCATGAGAGTAACCCTGCACCATCGCCACGGCATTTCTCAAAGGCACCCCGCCCCCTCTCGGAATCTCTAGTTTCGTTCGTGATTTGTTTATTTGTTCATGTTCAAGAGCCGTAACTCCTGCTCTGAGCGACACGGATTTGATTTGGCTGCAAAACGATTAAACGAAGGGGCGGCGACACTATAGCTTGCACCTAATTATGCTTCGGCGGACTGGCACTATGAGAGTAGTACCGACATCTAAAACGAAGGACAAGCATTTAGGACCATCAGTCCTAACAATTCTACACATACATATTCTCATCTAATGTACTCATGCGACACATTCCGGATTCTCCTGGCCGTGACCAACAGAGATGAAAAACGACCCTTTCCGCACCCAGAGTGACGCGCTGGTGGCTTTCATCTCCCTAGTCACCAGTCACAGGATGGCTACGCCGTTAACTTCAAGCCGCTCCGTCATTCCCAGCAAAGTCTCTGTCAGAATCGCCGCGATCGTCATAAGTGAGGGCGGGATGCTACAATGGTAGACTATACATGTAGGTAGAGGCTGGAAATTAGTATTCATTTGGCAGAAGATAGATATGTTGACTAGGCGCTTGGTGGCATGTCCTGGTACGTCCACAGCCATAGCGAGATAGAACAGTTCCCTGGGTAAGTCCAGCCGACTCCAGCGGCAAATCCCCTACAAGTCGCAGCTTATCCCGGAGGGGACATTCAGGCACTTGGAGCTGACCTTGCCGCCCGTGACACTCACGCTGGACCAGCTCCAGTCCGAGCAGGCGCCACTACCGCACGCAATGTAAACCTCGGTGCAGTCGTCGTCCGCACAAGTGCCAATCACGTTCTCGAGGGTGAAATCCGTGATGGGAACGCCAGTGGTTGGGGTCTTAGAGGTATCATCGTAGTTCTGCTCGATGACAATACCGTAGTCTGTGGCATCCGAGAAAGCTATCTCATGATAGGTGATGTCGCTAATGGAGCCAGTGTCTCCGTAGATGGCCTTGATACGGATAGCTGAAGGGCTGATTAGCACGGGGCCCGTAGTCTGGAATGCCAGGGGAAGTACCTTGCTGAGACTTGAGAACATTGACATCGTAGAAGGTGACGTTCTTCACCGTGTTATCATCCCGACCGCCGACAGAGCCAATGGACAGCCCATGGCCACCGGAGCACACACTGGCACTGAAGTAGATGTTCTACAGGATGGTTAGGATTTTAGGGTTTACATTAGGGTTTACATTAGGGTTTACATTAGGGTTTACATTA